AAACAAGCTGAAGTAAACGATCTAAAAATATTGAGGATATGACTGTGCAAGCGTATTGATTGTGAGTACTATTTTTATTATTCTTCTTCCACTCTTAGGTAGAGAATCATGCTTCCGGATTGATGTAAATATATTTTTTATTATAGAATGGAAGAAAAAAAGTAACATTCTGACAACACTATCCCATTCTATCAGTTACAGAAAAGAAAAAAAGAATGTGACTCGTCTATATCGATAAATATCTCTCTCAAAGAAACCTTCGTCAGACATGCTCATAGGAAAAGAAAGGATTACACACTAATCTCATTTGAACGATTCATACTACCGCCGACATTCACTTGGAAATGGAAGAAAAAAATAACATTATTCCAGCAATACTCTCCCATTCTATCAGTTATAGAAAAGAAAAAAAGAAAGAATGCTCATCGTCTATTTCTATCAATATCTCTCACAAAGAAACTTACGTGGAACATACTTTTATGTTTCTTTTTCGAAATCATAGAAACAGAAAAGATTACAGACTATTCTCATTTCAATGATGCATACTGCCGATGATATTCAGTTGGAATTAGAAGAACCATTCATAATACAAGTAGAGAATTCAGTATCTACTAAAAAAAATAGTGTCTGTTTGAGATTTCGACGATTGTTCACTCTTGATGTTCAACCAAATGAAAAACATTATTATCCCGTGTTTATTATCATTATGTCTATCTTACATATTTCCATTCATTTGACAACATATGTCAACATCCGATGGAGAAATCAACGTTTTATATATTCATTACATGATCTTTGGGTGTATTATATACCATGTATGCGACCAACACCTTACGATATTCGTATGCGTACTGCTCATTGCAGATCATCGATACAAAATGTTACATGTTATTACGGTGACGAACTCAAACACAAGTGCTTCTCTTTTCTATATCCATATCAATTATGGAGAATGGTTACTGTTAGCCTAATTCATAGTAGTTGGTTACATTTATTAGCTAATCTATCAAAACAAATACTGTTGGGTATTCTACTCGAACGTAAATATGGTTCATTTCGAATAGTTATTGTCTACTGGCTTTCAACTGTAGGTGCAGTTCTATTATGTGCTATGTTGGCAGACAGTCGAGAAGGTAAATAGAGTGCTATGAAATCTTCTTTTGTAATGTCATAAATGAATGAATGAGAACTTTAACGAATTGTAGATTTGATCAAGATTATTTTAAAGATTATCTTTTTAAATATAAAATTGATTTCACTTTTTAGGCGGTATTGGATCTTCTGGTGCTATATATGGTTTGGCATTATTTTTCACTGTGGAACGTCTTAATGCAATAAAAACAAATAGCGATCATCGCCTTTTCATACTGATGCAACTAGTTCTGTTTATTGTACTTCCTACGACCATCACCATATCTATGGCGGCTATTCTTGGCATTAATGTGGGACATTCGGCTCATTTTGGTGGTGGTTTGGTAGGCTGTGTGTTTGGTATTGGTAT